ATTCTACTAACCCTAAACCTACCCTAACAGTCTACTCTGAGAGTTAGTAGACATGTAATTGCAAATTAATGAGAATTAGTTGACATGTAGTTGACATGTAGTTACAAAGTTACTTATAGTTAATAGAATGTCTAAAGTGGACTATCAAAATAAAGTGTAACCGCAAAAAATATACTGGAGGCCATCAAATTTTAGTGAAAATCATCAGCGAGCGTTTTGATTGGACGAACATTTCTTGGTCCTATGCCTTCCACAGAATATATAAATACAGATAAATACATTTAGACCACTTAACTTGTGAAGATGGAAGAGACTTTCAACCAGCATAACAAAAAATGTTTCTGAAGACAATCACCTATTGCACCTTTAATAGTGAGAATTGGTCCCTAAAGTGTTACCCGTTTTACTAGAGTGTTTTGGATGGTTACCAGGGCGTTGCTATGTGTTTTACTAGAGTGTTTTAAGTGGTTACCAGGGTGTTGCTATGTGTTTTACTAGAGTGTTTTGAGTGGTTACCAGGGAGTTTCTATGCGTTTTACTAGAGTGTTTTGAGTGGTTACCAGGGTGTTGCTATGTGTTTTACTAGAGTGTTTTGAGTGGTTACCAGGGCGTTTCTATGCATTTTACTAGAGTGTTTTGAGTGGTTACCAGGGAGTTGCTATGAGTTTTACTAGAGTGTTTTGAGTGGTTACCAGGGTGTTTCTATGCATTTTACAAGAGTGTGTTGGATGGTTACCAGGGAGTTGCTATGTGTTTTACTAGAGTGTTTTGGGTGGTTACCAGGGTGTTGCTATGCGTTTTACTAGGGTGTTTTGGATGGTTACCAGGGTGTTTCTATGCATTTTACAAGAGTGTGTTGGATGGTTACCAGGGCGTTTCTATGCATTTTACTAGAGTGATTTGAGTGGTTACCAGGGTGTTGCTATGCGTTTTACTAGGGTGTTTTGGGTGGTTACCAGGGCATTGCTATTTGTTTTAATAGGGTGCTTTAGGTTGTTACCAGGGTGTTGCTATGCGTTTTACTAGGGTGTTTTGGGTGGTTACCAGGGCATTGCTATTTGTTTTAATAGGGTGCTTTAGGTTGTTACCAGGGTGTTGCTATGCGTTTTACTAGGGTGTTTTGGGTGGTTACCAGGGTGTTTCTACGCATTTTATTAGGTGGCTTTGGGTGGTTACTAGTTGGTTGTATTCTAGCCCAAACCAAAGAGTCCATCCAAGTTTTTATTATATTCTGGTCTATAAACAATGTTCAGGTCCCTCTTTCAACATATGTCTTTTTTTGCCTGTTTCATTTTTCTTATACAAAACAATAGTGCAAATTAACAATAATTAACTATCAGAAAGATTAAATAAAGGCTGCATTACCAACAACAACAACCTAAACAATGACTAAATACCTATTTGGCTACTGGTCAACACTGACCAACAGCCTGTACTGCTAAAAAGTATGCTGTTTCAGAAATTAAGCAAGTTTTGATGAAAGACAAACATTTATTTTCTTGCACTGATGAATCATCCACTATAAAATGGGTAATGTGCATTACGTAAAGTAAAAAGGGTCAGTTTCGATTTCATGTTGACACACTCAAAGCAGCGATGCATTACTCCACACAGCTAATTAAAACACAAACATTCTGAAAGGTAAAAAAAGAGAATGACTGTAACTTACATGCTGGTTTTCATCTTTGACCCTGCGTGACTGCAAAAGCAATAACAAGACAGGATTCAATTATGTTCTCGCTCTCGCACAAAGTACGACAGACAGATGTAGCTATTTGTGAGGGAGTGCAATCAGCACTTGCTCATTTGCATTCCATAATAAACAATAAACACAAGAACAACGTCTCCAGCTTCATTAGCAGCCGCTGATTTGCGGACGCTTCGCTTCGGGGGCTCTGATTGTTCCTTCCTGTCGGAGACGTTTTAGCATTATATATTCCACATTTCAGAGTGAAAAAGGCCCCTTGGCTTTGATCAAATGGTGTGCGTAACCTGTATGGTACAGGCAGAGCATTTATGATAAAATATTAAGAGAGCTTGAGGTGAAACGCATAGGAGAAGTTAATTTCTTCAAATTTCATATGTGGGTTAAACACAAATACATACTGAAGGCTTTATTTTTACAGTAAGGTCCAAAAGTCTGAGACCACTAGTGAAAATGCTTCCATACTGCATTTTTCCAAATGAATGCATTACAGTTTCTGAAGACAAATGATACATTTGTGTGATACATCAAGTTCAGTCTGTTCATCACACAAAAATATTGTATGACTTCAGAAGGTGTGGAATTTAAAGTTTATAATATATAAATATTAGTGCTGTCAATCGATTAAAAAATAACTAATTAATCACACATTTTTCTGATATTAATCACGATTAATCACACCTAACATTAAATTTTTAAATATACTTTTATATTGAATAATTTCACATTCAATCTTCAAATTAATGTAAAAACAACATAAAGACAGTATACTTTGTAATAGTTGTTTAATGGCATCTTTTTTCACCAAAAATGAAAATCCTGTCATTAATTACTCACCCTCATGTCGTTCCAAACCCGTAAGACCTTCGTTCATCTTCAGAACACAAATTAAGATATTTTTGATGCATTCTGCCAGCTCTCTGACCCTCCCATAGACAGCAAGGGTACTACCACGAGCAACGTCCAGAAACGTAGTAAGGAGATCGGTAAAATAATCCATGTGACATCAGGGGTTCAACCGTAACCGCACCACACAGATACGTTTTCTACGTTGTTGTGCTTTGATTTGAACAAAAATAACGTATCCGTGTGGTGCGGCTGACACAGAACAACATACGCTGTTCACCCTTGCTGTCTATGGGAGGGTCAGAGAGCTGGCAGATTCCATCAAAAATATCTTAATTTGTGTTCCGAAGATGATCGGAGGTCTTGAGAGTTTGGAACGACATGAGGGTGAGTAATTAATGACAGAATTTTCATTTTTGGGTGAACTATCCCTTGAAGGCGAGTATCACTGATACCAATACTACTGATGTCTCCATTAAAGAGTTTTTTTTTCTGATATTTAACCATTGACTATAGCCATTCAACATTTCAGTATAATTGAGAGCTATCAATTTGAACATTTATTAGACTTTAAAAAATAACTTCTAATTTAAGTGAACAAAACAAATTTCACATAAACCCATTATAATAAATGTCATATTAACCTGTGCCCTTCAGCAAGTAGGAAATCTACAGAAATTGAATAAAGTTATCAAACACTATATTCTAAATTAAATATAGATGAATCGTTAAAGCTACAAAAGATTATTGATTTCCTCATATTTCTTTAGTTCTTTGATGAACAGACATCACAGCAGCTGGTTATTAGCTTATTTTGGCTGCTTTTAGAGCCGCCGCTGCTGAACATGACATGGATTTGACACGCATCTATATTTTCTCACAACTCTAACTTTTCTCGCATGCTTCAGGTCTTAAAGTCTCTACTAATGAGCTGAGGAGTTGAATCGGGTGTGTTAGATGAGGGAGACGGTGCTGGGCTGCTCCAGGACAGTTTTGAAAACCATTTCAGAGACATGTTCTTAAATCTGACTCATAAATAACTAATACACGCATGCACAGTTTTGGTAACTTCATGACTTAACTGACGACACAATTATGACACTGCATGCTCGTAGTTTCTTTTGCGCTTTAATATGAAATGAAACAGGCTACAGCACGCGCCGCCACGTTTGTGCATGCAATTGAAGAGCACGTGCTACGAGCACAGTAAACCGGCTGACAGGACAGGAAAATTCATTTTTACTGACATATGGCCTAACAATATCTCATCTGACTGCTGTTCACTGTTGTTCTACTGAAGCTCCTCGTCACCTGTAACATTTTCGCACTCATATTACATAAACATAATACATATTCTAAACATATTTATAAATAAATAATTTCTGTGAATATACATTTTTGGGTGAGCTATCCCATTAAGAATGATGATTCACATCCTGCAAGGCCACGCTTACCCTTCCATGATTGACAGCAGCCTTCCCCTCCTCACTTCTCGCGTCCATTTCGTCATCACTCCATTCCCAGTCTCCATCCTCGGTCTTGTGCAGATGACCACTCGAACCCGGAACCCTTCTGACCTGCAGGTGTGAACGGGACACGCTGTCAATCTCACCATAGTGTGCACACAGCAGTGACTGCACACTTTTCCAGCAGATTTGGTTCTGAAAGTATTTTTCTCATTCGTTTTCTCCATAAGCATTTCAAAATATATATAAAGAGTTTTGGAACCAAACCAACCAGCTCTGAGATAAAGCACATTACAACTTTTGATTCGAAGCAAAAATGCTAAAAAGCAGAAATTAAAAAGTAGGGAATGTAAAATAAGGAATGACCTACTCATCACATAAGCATCAAATTAGCAATCAAATACGATCGAATTAGAAAAAAAATAAAAATAATAATTATATATATATATATATATATATATATATATATAT